GAAATAAAGTATATGCACTGGCAAGGCTACAGCTGATCTACTTTCAGACCCGAAGATGTTTCTTTTCTCCACTCAGTTTCACACAATTTGATGCTTTTGTTCTCCATCTCCCCTCCCCTCTCCCTCAATTCTTTTGGTACCAATAATTTCTTCCTTCCCTCTTCACACCATCCTGTTTCTCACTACTACAGAGACATAATGCTTTCGCCAATTCTTAATCTGTTAACCGATAAAGTTAACAGATTAAAGTTTAAGGTATTTTATTCTTGCTGGTAGTCAACCAATAATACTTGAAAACATAAAAGACTCAAGGATGCTGAATAATGAATCTCAAATGGCCAAGTTTCAGCACCACCATGTATGGTGCATGAAATTTTTCTGATGGAGGCTTCTTGATAACACCTCAAATCCTTTTTTAAAGCAATTATTTATTGAACACCAACTATATGCCAGGCACTTTCTTTGACTAGCTGGCACTATGTGGTATACCCTTCATTGAACGGTCTAGTCTTACTCGTTTACTTTTCCCAAACAACATTTAAAACAGAAATATATTCCTTAAAGAGTTCCTCTTTACTCCTGAAAGAGTCTGCATTCTTCAGCCTTCTTCTGGATCTTTCCACATTTTGACAGTCATCTCAAAGAGGAAAGCTGATAGATAAAGATACTAGTTATATATGACATCAGGGCTGACCTCTTAATTCTTTAGAAACAAATAGTTTGCTATTTTTTATTAATCAGCATACTAAAAGATGGTATCTTCAAATTTTTTATTTTTAATTCCTACCTTACATAACTTGCAGGTACCTTTATTGTTTTGTTCCTCCCAAAATGCTGGAATTACAGACAAATGCCACTGTGCCCGGCCATTCCTTACTCTTCTGAAATGAAAACAGTTGTGGTGGGAAAACCACTGCTATCTCATTTTTTAAGGTATGAGTCTTATAAACCTATGAAGTAACATATCAGATGACTGTGGGCAACCAGAAACTTCAAATACAACTTACTAATACACATGATAGACTGTGTATCTTGTTGGTGAAGGGCAGGTGCATGATAACATCTAATGTCCCCCAAAGTAGAATTTTCTCAAAACAAGATGCATCTTTGAAAGTCCATCCAATTATTAGACTTTGTTACAAAGGCCAAGAGCAACTTTCTTAAGACACATGCTAATTTTATTCTCCACATTGTATGAAAACCCTGAATTATTATTGAGAACCCTGAATTACTGAGAACCCTGAAATATTATTGAGCTATATCATATAAGTGAAAGTGTCCCTTCTATCTGTATAATTAGAATGTCACCAGATCAGTGTAGCTTACTTGACCAAAACCAGTCAAAACAAACTCCTGCAAAACAAAAAATCAAAACAAATAGTGTATCCTGTAGTTACTGCAGGTAGAAATTGAAGAACTTTACCTGCTATCTGTCTTCCTAGTAGTAATAATACTTAGGAATATGATCATTGATATCTTCAGTCATCCACAAACACTTGTCACTTTTGGTGCTTAAATACCACTTTAAAAGTAAAAATATACTTATAAAATATTTGGAGCAATTAAATAGTTCAAAGAAGCAGAGTTAATAATCTATAATATTTACTAGAGAAATACTGAAAACCAAAATGCCACATTGATGGTAACTTTTCTTCCTTGAGCTCACTTCTAAAGAACTGTAAGAAACTAAATTACATTTAAACATACAATAGTCATTAAGTAGGCAATCACTGAGTCTACGATAGGCCAGACATTAACAATTTTTCTTATTCTTAGCCCAGCAACTTTGTATATTGTAAGGATCCACACAATTAATGCAATGAGAAGGGAGAGGTAAAATTATAGACATTGAATTTTGAATTCAAATGTTAGCTTCTTTAAATGCTCCTGAGGTTAAAGATTTGTCCTCCTCCTCCCAACTGAATCTCAATGTTGGAACGATACACAACATTTAAGTGGAAACTATTGAAGCTTTGGCAGATACCTAGAAGTATGGTTTTGAGTTGCTATTTTCTTAGATAATTTACTTAGTAAATTACCTACTGTGTATAAAGTACGATGATAGGTGTGGCTTATCAGGTAAATTGTTTATTTTTATTTTTTATGTATATATATACTTTTGAGATAGTCTTGCTCTGTCGCCTAGGTTGGAGTGCAGTGGCGTGGTCTTGGTGCACTGCAAGCTCCACCTTCCGGGTTCAAGCAATTCTCCTGCCTCAGCCTCCCGAGCAGCTGGGATTACAGGCACATGCCCAGCTAATTTTTATATTTTTAGTAGAGATGGGGTCTCACCATCTTGGCCAGTCTGGTCTTGAATTTCTGACCTCAGGTGATCTGCCTGTCTCGGCCTCCTAAAGTGAGGTAAATTGTTTATTAAACAGCAAATGAATAAATATAAAATTGCTTTTCAATTAAATGATTAGCTCGAAACTATATAATTCGAGTGTGGACTTAAGGCAAAAAATGCCTCTTCATCACCTTTTTAAATTCCCAGGTCCTGAGTACCTAACACAGCAGGAATTTAATTTTTTTTTTCATTTCTAAAAATAGAAATTCTGAAGTAGTTAGGATAAGCTCCTATGGAAGCTACTCAGAAATCTTGACTAAATAAAGACCTTTATACAGTCTATAGAAATGACTAATTTCTAGTTTTTCCTTTTGGTCAGTGCTTGCTATGGGGTAGAAATTAAGTCATTATATGTAATATATACATATAAAGTAGTATCTAAAACTAGGCAAATCTGATATAGAAGGTTTTTTTTTTTTTTTTTT